TGAAAACCGATTACTCAACATAATTCAGATGACTTGAAATTTAGAAAGAATTTTATTTACAGAGTCAAAAAAATTAACTCAAGGTTGCCTGCCACATCTGATGGTCTTAAAATATTGCCAGCCCATGATGAAAGTGCATTGTTGCATCTATAAGTCAACATAGTTCAAATGACTTGAACTTTTCTATAATTTTATTTACAGTGCATATAAAATTAACTCAAGGTTGTCTGCCGATTCTGATGGTCTGTAATTACTGCCAACCCATGATGAAAGTGCATTCTTGCATCTATAAGTCAACATAGTTCAGATGACTAGAAATTTTTATAGAATTTTATTTACAGTGCATATAAAATTAATTCAAGGTTGCCTGCCGATTCTGATGGTATTAAAGTACTGCCAGCCTATGATGAAAGTGCATTGTTGCACCTATAAGTCAGCATACTTCAGATGATTTGAAATTTTTATAAAATTTTATTTAGAGTGTATATAAAATTAATTCAAGGTTGCCTGCCAATTCTGATGGTCTTAAACTACAAACAGCCCATGTTGAGAGTGCATTGTTGCAAGCATAACTAAACACACCTCAGATGGGCTGTCCTTTTCACAGCACATTAGTAATAATATAAATAAATGAAATATCTACAGCCAGCCCATTCTGATGGTAACATCATATGAAAAATGTCAAAAACGTCATTTGCGGAGTGCGGGCGCGTGGGGGAAAACGTATTTCGTTCATATGCAGTCTTAACATAGTGTTGCTGAAATGAACATATTAAAATGGGGCTTCTGCATTGAACACTGCAGCTACAGGGTTTTTTCTTGATTAAAAATTTAAATATGTTATTACACTTGGCCGCACAAATATGTTTGCAACTACTCTCCCCACGCCCGGCCCTTAGGTTAAAATTAACATCGATAGTTTAAAACGATGTCACTATCGATAGTATCCCAGCTATATTAATAATGTGCTGCGAGAAGTACAGCCCATCGGAAGTATGTTGACTTATAGTTGCAACAATGCACTTTCAAGATGGGCTGGCAGTAAATTAAGACCATAAGAATTGGCAGGCAGCCTTGAATTCATATTCTATACACTGGAAATAAAATTCAATCTAAATTTCAAGTCATCTGAATTATGTTGAGTAATCGGGTTTTATTGACATCTTTAATCGCTAAAAATGCATAATCAAGACCACTGTCATCTGAAGTATGATGGGTTTTTTGGTCATGGGCTCTTGGTCTATAAGCAAATATGGACTGTTCAGAGTTCGTTCCATATTGTGTCTCAAAATGTAGACCGTCAAGTCTGTGGTGAAAGACTGAAGCCCACCGTCTATGAACTAATTGTTCCTTATCAGTGTGGCTTTAGACCTGGCAAATCCACCATAGAGAAGGTATTCACAATACGCCAAATCTTGGAAAAGACCCGCGAGAAAAGGATCGACACTCACCACCTATTTGTCGACTTTAAAGCCGCTTTTGACAGCACAAAGAGGATTTGCCTATACGCCGCTATGTCAGAATTTGGCATCCTTCAAAACCCATACGGCTGTGTAAAATGACGTTGAGCAATACCACCAGCTCCGTCAGAATTTGAAAAGACCTCTCCGAGCCGTTCGCCACAAAACGGGGTTTCAGACAGGGCGATTCCTTTTCATGTGACTTCCTTAATCTGATGTTGGAGAAGATTATAAGAGCTGCAGAACTGAACCGCTCAGGAACAATTTACTACAAGAGCGTGCAATTGCTGGCTTATGCTGATGACATCGACATCATCGGTAGCAAAAACCGCGCAGTCTGTTCTGCCTTTTCCAAGTTAGGTAGGGAAGAAAAGCGAATGGGTCTGGTGGTAAACGAGGACAAGACGAGGTATCTCCTGTCATCAAACAAACAGTCAGCATATTCGCGCCTTGGCACCCACGTCACTGTTGACAGTTACAATTTCGAGAAAGTAGAGAATTTCGTTTACTTGGGAACCAGCATTAACACCGATAACAATGGCAGCATTGAAATCCAACGCAGAATCACTCTTGCCAACAAGTGCTACTTTGGACTGAGTACGCAATTCAGGAGTAAAGTCCTCTGTCGACGTACGAAAACCACGCTCTTTAAGTCACTCATCATGCCGCAGAAGCATGGACAATGACAACAGCCGATGAGGCGGCTCTTGGAGTGTTTGAGAGAAAGATTTTGCGGAAGATTTACGGGCCTTTACGCGTTGGCGATGGCGAGTACCGCAGACGATGGAACGGTGAGCTGTATGAGCTTTACATATTTATTTAGATATTTTATATAGATATGGACATAGTGCAGCGGTAACTTCAAGCAACAACAAAAAAGAAGAAAAATAATACCAAACAAAAAAACGCATATAAAATAAATACAAATTTAAAGAGCCACTACGTGCCAAATAGGAAAAATTTGATTGCATTATCGTACTGTGCTATACAAATATTTAGTGCGTATCCCGTGCCTTGATTCTGTTAAAAAATAATTAATTAAAGGAAAAATTTACTATTGTATTAAAATGGACGCCTTAACAACCAAAGTTAATGAGCTCAATGGGGGTGTTAATGCTCTTCTCGAGCAGATTAGGAGGCTTGAGGTACGACTTAGTGGTATCGAAAGAAACGGTGTCGCTCTGGAATCTAGGCTAGGAAGGATTGAGTCTAATAGCGCAATTCTGGACCAAAATCTGGGCAGGATTGAAGGACGGTTAGGTAGCATAGAACAGGCTAGCATGACAACGCAGCCGCAAGGGGTGCCGGCAGCGGTGCGAACACCACTATCGGATCAGGACTTGAGGGACATTGGCCGACTCTCTGATTGTGTGAAGGAGCTGCAAGTTTTTGAGGGTAGTCCTTCTCAATACATCTCGTGGGTTCACAACGTCGAGGGCATTTTGACTGATTACGAAGTGGTCAAAGAAAAGCCTTTGTATCGCGCAATCCTTCAGCATGAAACATATCGAAACAGACCGCTAGATGTATTCATCCGGGGTTTGAGTCCTGAGTTGTCCCGCATGCTCATCGTACAAAAACCAAAAACATTGCCCGAATCTTACTCAGCTTGCCTGGACATTCAGAATTTAACGTTGCGGAATACGATAGTTCACACGGGCTCAATGAACAGAGTCGTTGTTCCAATGAATATTTTATCAACACAGAGGCCACCGCTACCGCCACGCGCACGCTCGAGTTATAACTGGGTGAACAGGAATCACAATTCGGAATATAAGAGGACCCCTTACAACAGGCTCCAGGTCAACCAAGGAACAAGTTTATCAGCTCCAGCCATACCAACTGTCCCTAAACCCTTCGAGAAAATGGAAGTTGATGGTAGTGCCCAAACGAGGCAGGTCAACTATATGAACCGACCCTCAGGCACAAACGCTTTTAGAGGGGGCCGACATCATCAAAAGGTGCCTTCCCAAAACAACAAAAATTGTATAATATAGAT